CTATGGTTTCATACAGCGTTTTTCATATCACAGCGGTGCCTGCATGAACTTTCACTTAACAGTTTTTCCACATATATGCTGTGAGTCATCGACTTCGAAGCGCTATTTTTAGATTTGCCCACCACACCACTACCTGACTGCCTGTTTTAGCTCATAAAATTCCATACAAATTACCCACGGCCAGAATATAATTTACATTGCTGGAATTCTTATAATTTGGTGATGATCAATATCAACATCATATATTTTGCATTAGACATACAAATTTTAGATAAAATGTTTTCTCTAGTAAAATGATTATCTTTGTGCAAAATATATGACATTTATATTCAAAATATTCCTGGTCTTAAAGGAATCAGCAATGTCAATTATATTATCCTAACTTTAGTTTGAGGTATTATTTATTACTAAAATAATATTCTGGTTTCCCCATCTCCTTGGGACGGTTGGTGGGGGGGTAGAGGAAGGACCGACCGACCATCTATACCCGTGAAGAATATTTTTTTTTATTAACTGAAGATATTTGTTTAGCTCATAAATTCATACAAATTACGGTCAGAATATAATTTACATTGCTGGAATTCTTATAATTGATGATCATTTTGAATATAAACATCATATATTTTAATGACATACAAATTTTAGATAAATGTTTTCTCTAGTAAATATGTTATCTTTTTGTAAAATATATGACATTTATATTCAAAATATTCCTAATCTTACAAAGGAATCCAGCAATGTCAATTATATTATTCTAATCTGAGGTATTATTTAATACAAAATGTTAAAATTTATTTTTTCACCCTCTTCCTCTTGAAGGAGAATTGGTGGGGAGTGGGAGAGGTTGGGACTGACAGCGGTTGGAAGAGAGGCAAGGTGGGGTACTTTGATTGACAGATAGTGTCGTGAAGAATATTTTTTTTTTATTAACTGAAGATATTTGTTTTAGCTCATAAAATTCATACAAATTACCGGCAGAATATAATTTACATTACTGATTCTTATAATTTGGTGATCATTTTTGAAATAAACATCATATATTTTGCATTAGACTGACTGAAATTTTAGATAAAATGTTTTCTCTAGTAAATATGTTATCTTTTGTGCAAATATATGACATTTATATTCAAAATATTCTAGTCTTACAAGGAATCCAGCAATGTCAATTGTATTATCCTAACTTAGTTTGAGAGTATTATTTATTAAAATTTAGTGGTTTTCCCCAAAAATTTCTCCAGAGGAAAGAGCCAGCAAGTGAAGTGTGAGGGGAGGAGTTGAGTCCATTACTTGAATGGACATTAACTTGGCGACTGTATTTCTCTATTTCTCTTAAGTATTAATTGTGTAAATGTACCATCATAAAATTAAGATGTTATTTTTACTACAACATAGTTATATGTCTTCAAAAGTGGGTTTGGGGTTGGGCTGGTTTCTATTGGAATTAATCCCATATGTTCTGTTGTTCACTTAGCAGTTTCATAGCAGGACCCTCTGGGTTCTATTGACCGCGTTAAGTGAAGTTATAACATAGTGAATTAAGGGTGATTTAGGAGTGTTTCTGACTGTACCACGAGGTCCCAAGAACATATCCTCGTGCAAGTTGAGGAGTCTACTGTATATTGGAAAATTTTAATTTTGGTAGTACTATTGTGATAAATTTGAAATATTTCCTGCACAATTTCCTCATAAATAAAAAATTATCGCTATACCCTACAGTATATATGAAAAGTTGATAATTTTAGAGGCAGCGGCATATAAAATCGTTATATAGTTACGCATATATCCCAACCGTACTGTATCAGCTATTGAGAGTGATTGGCAACACTCATTTCCACTCCATCTCTCTAATCACCACACCTTTCTGCTTTCTCCTCCATATTTTAAAATCTTATCACATTACAGTATACAGTAATGCAATGTTGAAGGGATACAATTTTGTTCATTTATACTTTCATACTTATCACAATCTCTCTAAAATTACTTTAGGTTTCATGTTTATTCAAGACATCTTCAGGTCATGAGACCCACTAATCACCGGCCAAGAAAGGGTGACCTGACATTCCATCAGGTCAGTAATATGAGACCACTAATCCTCTACCCTACCTCCACCTGACATAAGAACATAAGGTCTGCAATAGGCGTTGGCCTGTGCATGGCAGCTCCTGTCGAGAGTTACTACCACTCTCTATCATCCATGAATCTATCTAGCCTCCTTTAAAACTTTCCAGCGTTCCACTTACTACAAAATTGCTAAGCTTGTTCCATTTCGTCCAAAAACCCTATTTCGAACCAGTTCCTTCCTATCTCCCTCCTAAACCTAAACTTATCCAACTAAATCTGTTTACAAGTCCTATCCTCTCGGATATTATAAGAACTTTATCTATACTGTATCTCCTTTATTGATTCCTTTCCTTCAAATACTTCTATCATATCTCCCCACTCTTAGGTCTTTCTAGGAATGCAAGTTAAGTTTCTTTAACTTATCTTGATATGGAAGGATTTCTAAGTCCGGAATCATTTTGTCATTCTTCACTGCACCGACTCCAGTGAATTGATATCCATTCTATAATAAGTGCACCAGAACTGAACAGCATGATCGAGGTCTTGACTAACTAAGCATAGATACAGTTGCAATAAGACCTCTGCCCTCTTATTACTTACAATTCTAGATATAAAACCTAATACCCCTGTACTCTGTTTGCCTTTTTGAACATGCCTAGTTTTCTAGGCCATAGGTCCAGGCTTACAAGTACCCTAAGTCTCTTTCACAAGTCGACTTCTCTAGGTTGATGTTGTTAAGGCTGTATACATTGACAGTATATGTTCTTCCAATATTAAGTCGCTGCACTTGCTGGTGTTGAATTTCATTTGCCATTTTCTGGCCCTCCTGCAGTGTATTTAAATCCTCCTGTAGTGCATTTGCATCCTGCTCTGAATTAATATGCAGCCCTATTTTGGTGTCATCCTAGAAACTTGCTTATGTCACTGATCCCAGTATCTAGATCGTTTATGAACAAGAGTGGGCCCAGTACTGACCCTGGGAACCCCACTGGTTACACAGGCGCTCAGTTAACACCATCTACACTGACCCTCTGTGTTCTATCGGTGAGCCACGATTTTATCCAATATAAAACCCCTGATACCATGAGGCCTTAACTTTTCTTAGAAGCCCTGATGCGGTACTCTGTCAAGCGCTTTGCTAAAGTAGTAATAACATCGTATTTTTGTCATTGTCTACTACCTTGAAAACTTTCTAAAAAATGTCAGCAGATTTGTTAGACAAAATTTTCCTTTGTAAACCCATGTTGAGAGTATTAGATTGTGTCAGGTCAGGTATCTGAGACCCACTAACCCCACAGTTCCATGGAGTGGAAAATACCAGTCTTTGCTGTAACACAGAGTTTCATTCCGGTCATATCATATACATTTTTAATTTTCAAATATATTTATTTTCCAAGCTTTTAGATAAACTATTCTGGTTATTATAGTAAAGAAATGGAGTTTCTAACAATTAGAACTGCATTCACGGACTACGATAGTTTAGACTCAAAGAAAACATACCCAGCACCCAGAAACCTTCTGGGGAGTGGGCTAGTGTCTGTGTGTGCAAGATGTCTAGTTTAGACACTCAAAAACTTGTTCCGATAGCAGGGATATCACTGATTATTATTGACACAGACCCTAGGTGGTCTGGGTAGAACTAAAAGCATTCCCTGACTGAGATACCTGTGTCAGGAGGACAAACTATGACAGTCAAGTTTATACAATACTGCACAGTACCCTGTATAATACTTAAACCTGGTGAATCAAGCAATTTTGTTAGTATGCAGTAATATGACTGTTTATTGAATTAATATCGGAATAATTTTGTGCTTTTCTGATGTAACAAATTGCACATATAACCACAGTTCTTTAAACAAATACTTAACACAATTTGAAAAGTGAAGTACAGGTACGGACCATTTAACCGTCATGCTTGGGACCTAGGTGAACCCGGTGTCTTGGTTTTGTGGATCTGTAGTTCTGAACATTGTATCTATACTGAACAACAGGGTTTCCTTTCTTTCAGTACCACATTGCACATCCACCTCACCATTTCAATATATTTTTGGGCATTGTAGGACTGTAGGTAAACTTGGTTGACTCTCCAGCCTTCAATCTTCATAATATGCTCTTCTGGGACTTATGGTTGAGGTTAGGAAGGATTTACTTATGAGAATTTTACCCAAATTAAAAGCTATTTCAGTCTTGTTCTAATTTAGTTCAATCACTTATGTCAGGGTTCAAAGACCGCGGGTTTCATACCTTTAGAAGCAGTGGTTCCCAACCTTTTTGGCTACGACCCTAAATTTCCCAACAATGGGTGTCATGACCCTCAGGCATATAATATACAGTATTATACAGCTTGAATGTTAAGCAAAATTTTTTGACTTTATGAAAGAACTATATTTATTAAATTGTCTGAGGGCCTTGACCCTACTGAGGACACCCTGGACCTTGATTTGGGTCACAACCTGTGGTTGGGAACAGCTGCTTTAGAGTTAGACTATGGACTATACAACCACTCCTCGACTTCGACGAGGGTTGGGAAGCCCAAATCCAGGTCATGAGTCGAAATGCGAAGATAATACAGTACATAGTAAATCTAAAATGGGTGTCTCTTTTCTTCTCAGCACCACAAAACTCTCACTTTTAAGCTTGCCAGCCATTTCAAAGGGAATCACAAACAAAAATTTTGTCAGTACACAGCGCAATCACTAACGTTGGGACTCGAAAATCGTAATTTGAAAAAATTTTTGGGATGACTGGAGGCGTGTATGTCCGGTGGTAGTAAGTCGAGTAGGTGAAGAAGTCAGGAGTAACTGTACTTGAGTCACAAGCTATCCATAAGCTACAAACAAATACAAGTATTAATGAATATATAAGAACTTATGCACTGACTTACTTAGCAATTTCAATGCTGGGCTGAAACAAAGATGACCATGGAAGCTTCCCATACTACTTTATGAGCATATTCTAGGCCTCGTAGCAATCCAGGTACTCAATACTCCGTCCATCTGTTGGAGAGGATAGAACGTTACACTAATGATCAGTTGTTCTTATGCCTAAAGCTATCATTGCTTCATATACAATAAATCTAGAAAATTATCACTACTTCATGTAATACAGTATATCTAATGTATTGATCTCAATAGTACATGTTAGTTAACACACATCATATGATCGTATTATGCTCATAGTCACTATAACCATGAAGCTATGCCTTCATTATTGAGTCTTCCATTTGTGGCATCCGTTTCTCACCGCTTCAGTATGCCTGAGTCCTCCGTTTTCTCTCAAGTAGTACTGAGACTCTGATATTCTATAGTATCATGTCATGTTGAGATTTGAAATTGGAGATTAATTCATATATTTTTGTTAGTTAGATATGTGCCTTACAGATAAAACATTCAAGATCCCTTGTAGTGATGTTGAAAGCTTGAACTGTATTTACTTTTAGTAAAATTATCAGGGTAAGTTTGTAAGTGAGAAGGGCGATCCCCTAACATCATCCCTGGGACACCCTGAGTTTCCAATTGCTACTGAAGTTAGATCATTTTAATTTCAAGCATCAGAGAATTTGATGTTTGGATTGAAATACAGTGGACCCTCATTAACGAGCAGTTGAATTTCGAGATTTTAGTTAATGAGTTACCTCCCGTCCGGACTTTCATCTCTATTAATGAGTCCAAATTCTTTTAGCAATACATCATTGAAACACGTTTTGTGCTACATCAGCTGATCGACTCGTCCGCAATAATCGGTTCTATTTTTACCTTTGTTTCAGTGGGTAAACATGAGAAAGTTGCGCTCTTGAATATTTTTGCATTTTACATTAAAATTATTGGTTATTCTGAAATTTAGTTAACATATTGATAATATACAGTGCAGTGTTGGTTTACAGAAAAAATCTGGACCTGGATTTCGAAGATTACAACAAAAATTTGGGGGTTCTGGGCTAAGAAGCCCCTAGAAGCATTCCCAAAACAGTGTGAAGGTAGATTTAGGCTATAAGTTTTTTCTTATAAAATGTCAGACTAAAATTAGCAGAATATAACTTGCATTGCTGGAATCCTTGAAGACAGCGAATAATTTGAACATAGACATCATATATTTTGCACAAAGAGATAAAAATTTTAGTCCTTTAATGTAGTACATTTAGTGCAAGTTTTTCATTTATTTTCACTCTTTTACATGCAAACACCATCCCAAATATATATTGTGAAAAAAGTAAAGGAAATTATTGTCCTAGGGCGAAACCTGTACTGTACTCAAATGTATAAATAATTACTAAAATTTTATATCTAGCAAACTATAGCATGTTTATACAGCTGCTCCTCAACTTAGGATGGGGCTAGGGACCCAAATCCAGGTCATTAAGTTGAATTGGTCAAGTAAATCTAAAATGCTTAAAAACTACATAGAAAATCTAAAATGGGTGGGTCTTTTTCTTCTCAGCACCACAAAATCACTTTTAAGCTTAGCCATTTTAAAGTGAATTACAAACAAAAATTTGTCAGTACACAGTGCAATCACTAACGTTGGGACTTGAAAATACTGTGCGTAATTTGACAAAATTTTGAATGCGACTGAGGTAGTGGTGTATGTCTGGGTTGATCGTGGAGTCGAGTATGTAAGTAAGTCGAGGAGGGGCTGTATTCAAATTAATCACTATCACAAGAATTCCAGCAATGTAAATCATATTCTCCCAAGTCAATTCAGTGACATTTTATAAGAGAAAAATTAAACTCCTCTATATGACAGATAAATAAATACTACAAGGTACAACCGTAGCCAGCTGTCAAAGCACCTCACCTCCTTCCCTCCTACGCCCATGTTTACTCAAGAGTAAACATTATATCTAAAATTGTATGTCTAATGCAAAATCTATGATGTTTATATTCAAAATGATCATCAAATTGTAAGAATTCCAGCAGTAAAATTATATTCTGGCCAGATAATTTGTATGAATTTTATGAGCTAAAACAAATATCTTCAGTTAATAAAAAAAAAAATATTCTTCACGACACTCTCTGTCAATCAAAGTACCCCATCTTGCGTGTTGGCGGGCCGTTCAAACCCGTCAAAATTCAAGTTTCCGCCGTCAAAATTTTTATTTATTTATTTTTTGTGTGTTCCAATAAAATACGTTAAGAATTAAAAACTTGGGAAATTTGAGAAGCTACTATACGACATTTAACCCTTCAATATGTCTTCAAAGAGACCATGATGCAGAGAAAGTGGTGCTAGGCTCCAAGCATAAGCACAAGTCACTATCTATCCAGGAAAAGGGTGAATTTCCATGGTCCGGCACCAGTCAGGTCCCGAGGTTGCCGGACTAGAGAGGTACAACCTGTATTACAATAATATTCTATCCTAATTGACTTGAATAAATACTACAATACCATACTTCTGAATATTTTCATTAAAATCCATCCAAATCATTTTCCTTGTCATCGTCTGCAGCACCAAACAGCTTCTCCCAGTACTCTCCTTGAACAGGGCTAGAAAGTACGTGTTTTTCGAATCGTTTTCAGTTAAAAAACTGTTACATCACATGTATATTTTACCTAAACTCGCCTGAATGAATATATTCTTGGAAATAAATAGTAGTTTTGCTGAAGCGTTATGTATTTTAATGTAAAATAGGATAAAATACATAGCGAAAACAAAAGATTTACCTAACCTTCGATGTTCAAGAGAAGTTCGCCGTTTTTAATAGTTTTGGTTAAAATACTGTTATATTACAATCATATTCTATTCATACTGTGCTTGATATAATACATTCACGAATGTAATATTTTGCTGAAATGCATTACATATTACAGTGGAAAGTGGGATAAAATGTTGGCGAAAACAATGACTTTGAAATATAATGCAATATTAACTCCTAAATGGGTTAATTAGGACAATACATTAAAACGGACACCTACACCCTATTAGTCGAATTACGAGATCGACATGTATATATATATATATATATATATATATATATATATATATATATATATATATATATATATATATATATATATATATATATTATATATATATATAAAAAATATATATATATATATATATATATATATATATATATATATATATATATATATATATATATATATATATATATATATATATATATATATATATATATATATATATATATATATATATATATATATATATATATATATATATATATATATATATAATATATATATATAAAGGTGAGTCCAAAACTATATGGTAAAAAATATAAGTAGTAATATATTTCACAAGCCTTAAAATTGTCCATTTGGTTCATAGATAAGGTCTGTAAATTTTATCCATATTCATTAACATTAGAGGTCAATCCATTTTGCATATTATACTTGTTGTGTAGGACTGAATTTTCTTGTCCATGATACAGTCTTAATATACACAACACATTATATTGGGTATATTTCAATGTATATAGCCTAGTTGCCTATTTGGAAGGGCAAAGAGTCAAGTATTGAGTCAAAGGACTGAAATGACAGGTTGAAACAGGAAACACAGGCAAGGGTTACCATTAATCAGATGAAGTTACTTATTTCATTTATATCTCATCAGTTCTACAATTATTTCATTATCAATCTAAATAGTATATTTTGCTGAATAAAGACAATGTGTTTATAATGTGTTTATCTAGCGAAAAATCCTTATGCATTACTAAATGGAAAAAAGAGGATTGACCTCTAAATATGCTTTAAATAATCAAATTTTTTTCTGGGATGCATTTTATACCTAATGGACAAAAATAAACCTTGTGGAGAAAACGTGTATACAAATATGTGATATTTTGGACCACCTAAATATATATATACAGTGGGGTATGCTATACTGAACAGATCCTACTAAGAATATTCCTATAACGATGGTTTTTTACCTATAAAATTGAGAATGCTATATGACGGAACTCCTACCTATGACGGATGAATCTTGCAGGGACTATTTAAGCCTGGCGCATGAATATTGTTATGCCCGCGACCCCACAACAAAAGTGTCAGGCGCCATCTTTGTCATTATTGTAGCCAGTGCACCACTGTTATTGTTAATTCGTCTTTTGATGTGGAAATAGAGTTATTTGCATAAATATTTTGTTATACAAGTGTACAATTGTGACAATAATGAATGGATTCAAAGCGAGTGAAAGCTCACCAACTCTTGAAACTAAGTAAGAAATCATAAAGAAAGCGTGAGGAATGGAACAAGCATTGCGAAACTTAGTGATGAGTATGGGATGGCTAAATCAACTATAATATGCGATTTTAAGAATAAAGAGGAGTTGAAAACTGTGCAAGTGGCTAAGGGAATCTCTAGACTTAGCAAAGCAAAGGTGTAATGTGATTGAGGATGGAAAATTGCTCTTAGTGTGGATAAGGGAAAAAATGGCAGTGATAGCATTAATTGAAGCTATAATAATAATTTGTGAGGAGGCCAGACAATTGTTGAGGACCTTAAAGCCAAGACTCCCAGTGCAAGTGATAGTGATGTGCCAGTGTTTAGGGGTACCAAGGGGGTGGTTTTACTGGTTTTCAGAAGGAGGAAATAAATTACATAGTGTTGTGAGACATGGTGAAGTGCTGCTAGTGCAGATAAAGGAGAAGCTAAGAACTTTTTCATGACATTTTTTAATATTATTAAAAGAGAGGCTGTTCTCCTTGAGTATTCAGCAATGATGGAAACTGGACTTTTTGGAAAAAAAAATACCTCGCCGTACATACATTACCAGGAAACTTCTGTCCTAATACCGTAATGAAGATGACTTACCCTCCTTCTTTGTGCTAATACTTCTGGTGACTGCAAATAAACCCACTCCTTGTGTACCATGCAGAAAACCCCAGAGCTTTCAAAAAACATTAGGAAGACCCGCCTTGGTGTTGTGGCGGTCAACCCCCAAAAGGCTTAGGTGACCAAGAAATTTATTCTCTGAGTCGTTGATTGAGTGTTTTGGACCCAGTGTTGAGGGCTACACTCAGGAGAATCAAATACT